TTTCAATAGCATCCCTGGAGATTCTTTGTCTCATCATATTGTGGCAGGACTTTTCCTTTTAATTTTTTTAGTGTGTGTGTGTGTTGGGAGCCATACAGCTTGACATGAACCTTTAGGCCAAATTTGGCAAGCCACATAGTTATAGAACTGCCTTTTGATTATAAATGGCTTCTAAAAGCATGAGCACCCACAAGAAACAACATGACCCAGACGTCAATCCTTGGTTCCAACCACAGGCCCCCTTACCTAAGCAACCCTCCCGAATCCCACCACTTACCTAGGCACCCCTCCTTCTTCCCACCACTCACCTAGGTAATCCTGCCTCTCCCCACCACCCGTGAATGTTTTATCCTGTTAATATCCTCCCCTTCTATAGTTTTCTAACATCCTGCTTAAACTAACACCTGGCTCTTGGCCTCTTCTCCCCCTCCCCTTTACCCCATACTACTGACTATATAAGCTAGCCTGGAAAAAATAAAATTTGCCACTTGACCAGAATCCTGTCTTGTGGTCATTCTCTCTCCTCTCTTGTCCCCATTCCCCTCCCTGGACTTCTAGCTCTTCTAGGTTGCTGTCCTTCGGGTCAGGACAACTATAACTGGCGCCCACAACGTGGGTCTTGACTGTTCCAGGAGAGGAGAATTTCAGTGTTCATTAGAGGGACGGGGCTGTCCAAGCATTGAGGCACCCGAGACATGGTCGATTGTGGGTCTCAGAAGGGAAGACACCCAGCAGCCTTACCCAGCGCTCGGGATCTTCCGTTCATGAACACCACCTGAGGCAGCGGTGCATAATGGGACAAGCACTTAGCAAGGAAGATTTGGATCTTTCTGGGATCAAAGAATCCCTCAAGATGCAAGGGACCCGTGTTAAAAAGAAACAATTAAGGACATTTTTCATCTTTGTTGGAGACCTCTGTCCTTGGTTTCCACAGGAAGGGACAATTAATGAAAACAAATGGGCTAGACTAGGTAATTGCCTACAAGATTACTATGAAGTCTTTGAACCAGAAAAGGTCCCTGTGTCTGTCTTCAGACAAGACTCAAAGAACTAAGGTTAAGAAAAAAAGATTTAATAAATATTTAGATTACATAGGGAATCTCTGTCCTAGGTTCCCCCAAGAGGGAACCATGGATGTAAATAGATAAAAGAGAGTTGGTAAAGAAAAATTCTCGCCTCCCATCCAGAGTGGCTTCCCCTTCAACTTGTCCTTCTAACTATGTACCCACAGCCCCATCAACCCTGACCCTCCTGGAGAGTTAAAGTGACAAATGGTTACCCCCTAACGACCATCACTGGCTTCCCTCTCAGGAGGAGATTTTGTCTTATGCAAAATTGAGTTCATGGAGAATTACAGGGACTTTACTCACCACAATCAAAAGAAAATGTCTCCTAAAACCTGTCCGTTTGTTAAACATTTGGCCTTTAATCAACAACCAAAAACTTGTTTTAATTGCAAACAACCTGGTCACTTCTTTGGAGAATGCCCTGCTCCCTGAACTTCTGCAATTACAGCTTCAGGTCAGCTGCCTCCCCCTACTGTATGCCCACTTTGCCATAAAGGCAAACATTGGGCTGCACAATGCAGATCTAAAACTAACCCTTACCCCTATGACAGCAGGGAAACTTCCAAGGGAGCCAGCCCTGGGCCCCAGGATCTTAAAGACTGCTTTTTCACCATTCCCCTACACCCTGAGGATAAGCCTCACTTTGTCTTTACTGTTCCCCAGGTTAATTTCCAGGGCCCTATGCCTTGATACCAATGGAAGGTTTTGCCTTCAGGGCATGGCCAACAGCCCCACCTTATGCTAAAAATTTGTTGCTGTTAGTCCTATTAGAAAAAAGTGGTCTTCTGTTTACAATTCTTGGACTACTGCCCAGCAGAAGCAACTTTCCCTATGCTTGTAAGATTTAACTTCCAGCCTAACTCAAAAAGAGCTCCAAATAATACCTGATAAAATTCAAACTGCTAAACCATATATGTATCTGGGGTACAAGCTATACCACCAACAGATGCTAACCCTACAGATTAAACTACACACCTCCCTCATTTTTAACTGGGAATGTAGAGAGACAATGAGATAATGATGGAGGGCCAGGAGACTTAAAGGATTTAGCCAAATTACTCTCACAGAAGATAAGAAATTTACAGCCACAGATCATTTACAACAGGCCAGCCCAAGCCCAGAGGGCAAAAGGCAAGGGAGGCCAGAGCCAAAACCAAAAATACTTGCAGCCTTTGAGAGCTACTCCCTTCTCTGTCTCACTGATAACCAATCAAATATATAGAAATTACTATTAATACAGCCAGTCAGAAAACTGTTTTAAGACCTTATGGAAAAAGAAAGACACCATAGAAAAATTTAGATGTTTAAATTTTGGATGCTCATAATTCAAGAACTGGCTATAACTGCTATGTTACAAGAGATTTCAAATAGAGATTTTTCATTTCAACAGACTGGTCATATCCTGGGCAAAAGAAGAGATGAAAAATGTGTGCTTGCTTTGTGTGTACGGTGTGGCCACTGCTTGGATTGCCTTGGATATGATTTACAAATGTATATATATATGTACATATATACGTGTGTGTGTGTGTGTGTGTGTATGTATATACATATACATAAATTACTTCAGATATAGTTAAAAAGCTACCTAAATTGCCTTAAATATAATTAAAAAGAGCATCCAATTAGCCCCATTGACTTAGGGGCAAAGAGGGATCTATATGGACAATTCTATGAAATTTGACAGAGGAGAAGATACAAAAATCCTCCTAAATTTTTAATGTCAGCTAATGAAAAGTTTAGCTGGATGGATTAAAAAAGGCTGCTCAAAAACCTTTAAGTAAATTTTCAAAAATTATTTGGGACATATGCTAAATTCTAAAGACTTTAAGGCTTAAAGATAAAAAAATTATGTTACTTATGTCAAGCAACAAATTTCTAAATAATGATTCATTGGGCAATTGTTTTGCTAAATTTTCAGGGAACATTGATAATCAATTACAGCTCATAGGCTGTTACAGTTTATACTAATACATTTCCCCCCCAAAATAGTAAGAAACAATCTCATAAAGTACTATGTCAATTTTTACTGATGGTTCTTCTAATATAAGACCAACATATTATAAATGGTAAAAAATATACAGAACAGACTGCTCCAACCACAGCTCAGGCCATCAAGTTACAAGCTGTTGCAATGGTCTTTCAGCATCTAATAAAATGATTCATTTAATTTGTATACTAATAATCATGTTTTTAAGGCTCTTTAAGTAATAGAGACAATACTATACATAAAAACTATAATGATCAGGTTAAAAATGTTATTTAAACAAATTCAAAATACACCAACAAAAATTGCCATGTTTTGTGGGTCACATGAGGGAGCCCATTCAGGCCTTTCCCTACCTACTGGCTAAAAGGAATGAATCAACAGATCGATTAATAAAATTGGTCTATTTGTCTTAGATAGAGAGAACTCTTCAGTCTTATAACTTTCATCATTAAAATAACAAAAACTTTAAGAAAACAATTAGGTTTAACTGGAGAGACTACTCGGCAAAATTGCCAAACAATAATGTGTACCCACAATGTTTATCTGTAACTATTTTAGGAATAAACCCTAGAGGTCCACTTCCTAATCATTCATGGCAAATGGATGTTACTCATATTACAAAATTTGACAAATTAAAATATATACATATGACAATTGATAGATATTTAAATTTCTAAACATATGACAACTAACTATTGAATGATGTTTTCCTTACATGGGAATTCCAAAAGTAATAAAACAACCTATACACTAAACAGTAAAAAAGACCCAATTTGGGGTGGAGGAAATGTTTGTGCTTTCTTACAGGAAAATAATAAAACAAGATGGCTACCAGACCATTTGGAGATATGCATGGAGAAGAGGAAAACAGGCATGCTGAGATAAAATAGCCACCCTCTCCTCCTCCTGAAAACCCCACCTCCAAACTCACCCTTAGCCAGCTCATGGGTTCTGGACTCTGTGTGGCACCCCCCACTTTCAATTCCCTTAACCCATTCTTATCTCTGCAACCTTACCCTGGCTCCTGCTGATTCCTAATAATGCCTGGTGGGCCTGCCTCGATGGCCTCACTCCCTGCCTTCCACCTATATCTTTGAGGAGGTGGCATTCTGCGTTCTAGTGCAGGTTGCTCTTATCTGGCTTATTAAAGAACCTGACAAATTCTTTCACTTCTGGGAACAATCCCAAGGGACCTCCACCCCTTGTGCAGTTTGTTCTCTTCTCATCACCAGCCTAACAAATTCTTTCACTTCTGGGAACAATCCCAAGGGACCTCTGCCCTTTCCCATCCTCGCAGCCGCAGCCGCAGGAGCAGGTACTAGGATCTCTTTCCTTGGCACTCTAGACAGAGATGTTAAGGAACTCCAAAACCAGATAGCCTACTTAAAAGAATCCCTACAATCTCTAGCTGAGGTAGTCCTACAAAACAGAAGAGGCCTAGATCTACTCCTCCTCCAACAAGGGGCCTCTGCGCTGCCCTCAGAGAGGAATGTTGTTTTTATATTAACTGTTCAGGAGTCATTAAAGATAGCATGGCTAGAGTCAGAGAGGGCTTAGAAAAAAACGCCAAAAGGCAAGACAACAGGAAGTGTGGTACCAAAACTGGTTCTCCACTTCCCCATGGCTTAGCACCCTCCTACCTTCCCTCCTGGGACCCCTTGTGGGACGTCTGCTATTGGTATCTTTTGGCCCTTGGGCCTTCAATCGACTAGTGGCCTTTATCAAACAGCAGGTAGATTCTGCCACTAGGCCTATTCAGGTTCATTACCATAAACTCTACTCCAAGGAGGATGACTTGGCTGCCCCAACACCACTCACATTGGGATGTTATCCCCAAAATGGAACTCATGACCCCCATGGCCAGCTTCAGACCGGGTGGATGTTCCATCTCCCCGCCCCCACAAAAGAACATTGGGCTATAAGACCCCAAGGATGGATGCAAGTACCTGTCCTGAGGGGCCCAAGAGTCAATCCTGCTCAATCTGCTAGGTGGCCGGGCCTCTATCCCCCTCTGCTGCAAAACTTGGCCTTTTCCTTTAATACCAGGAAGGGGAATATGTGGGGAGCCATACAGCTTGGCATGAACCTTTAGGCCAAACTTGGCAAGCCACATAGTTATAGAACTGTCTTTTGATTATAAATGGCTTCTAGAAGCATGAGCACCCACAAGAAACAACATGACCCAGACGTCAATCCTTTGTTCCAAGCACAGGCCCACTTACCTAAGCAACCCTCCTTCTTCCCACCACTCACCTAGGTAATTCTCCCTCTCCCCACCACCCATGAATTTTTCACCCTGTTACAATAAATATTTCTCCCAAAAGCTGCCCGAGCCCTACTGCCATGTGGGCGGTCTCCACCAGCTGCCTGAGTTCTGCCCATTGCGTGGATGGACAAAATAATACACAGACTTATATTAGGTACAAGGCTGCTTGGCCAATGACTAGGATTTCTCATCTGTTAGCTCAGTCTTTATTATCATAAATCTATATATTTTATAAGACTTATCTTATAGAGGATGCCTTCGCTGGTGCCCTCTCTTGCCGGTGGATCACATAGTACCACTGGAGGATGCGAAGGGGAAAAGGGGGCACTTCCTACTTCTCCTTCCTTAAATATGAATCTCCTTGCTATGTCACTTCCTGCCTGGATCACCACTTTACTACATTTCCCAGAATCCTCTTTGACTCCTAGTCCCATCTAACTTGCTGCCTCATTGACCAAAATGTACCTTATTCAACAATCAATAAGATGAACACAGAAGTACATTCCCCATCATTACCCTGCCAATATCCTCCTTCTATAGTTTTCTAACATCCTGCTTAAACTAACACCTAGCTCTTGGCCTCTTCTCCCCCTCCCCTTTACCCCATACTACTGACTATATAAGCTAGCCTGGAAAAAATAAAATTTGCCACTTGATCACAATCCCGTCTTGTGGTGATTCTCTTGCATTTCTTGTTGCCATTCCCCTCCCTGGACTTCTAGCTCTAGGTTGCTGTCCTGTGGGTTGGGACAACTACGCACGCGCTGTGTGTGTGTGTGTGTGTATGTGTATTAACCTATAGGTCTTTTTCGTATATATTATGGATTCTACTGTTTTCTGGGATTTCTAAATTTGCAAATGGGAGGGTGTTGTGCTTTCCCCTGGGCTTTGTTTTGTCCTATTCTAATGTGTTAGTTTTTGTCTTATTTTATTATATTGTATTGTGTTATATTTTATTTTATTATTATCCCTTAGAATTGTTCAGTTTCTTTTCTTTCATTAGTGTTCTTTTTTTTTTTTCTGAGAAAGGGTCTCTGAGTAGCTCTGGCTATACTGGAACTTGCTTTGTAGACTAGGCTGGCTTTGAACTCATGGTGATCCACCTGCCTCTGCTTCCTGAATGCTGGGATTAAAGGTGTGTACCACCACTGCCCAGCTAGAATCGTTCATTTTCGAATTTGAGACAGAAAGGGGATAGATTCAGATGGGAGAGGAGGTAGAGAGGAACTGGGAGGAGTAGAGGAAGAGGAACTGTAATCAGGATATATTATATGAGATAAAAATTTATTTACAACAAAAGAAAAAAAGAAAATGCTTACAATGAAACATACCTTCTTCAGTCTTGGGGCCTCTTGTAGCTTGTACTGGTTCACTTGCACTTAGTGGGACACTTTGTCCAAAATGCTATAAAAATAGGTTAAGTATAAATATAATTCCAGATTTAAAATTCATGATATGGTCATGGTCTTCAAAGAACCTTTAATTGTTGCCTGCATTTTTAGTTGTCACTGTCTGTATAACTTGCCTAATTCTTTTATTTTGGAGCAGAAATCAAGAACTACTGGATTAAAGCCTTTCATGGTGAATGAATATTTAAAAATGTCTAACACAAAATTCCAGGTTGTGGTGTTCTCTTGAAGACCAAGAAGAACAAAGTATGTTGGGTGGCAACCAACTGTTTGGAATAAAGAACTATTAAAAATCCATCACACTTTACACTTCGATGGCTTTGCAACTGCCTGTTATTATGGGAGTTTTCTCCAAGCCTGTCAGCAGAAGCAGCTGCCTCTTTGCTGCAGAGGATCTAGAGGCATCATCAAAAAGGGTTCCACTGTACACTACCTGACAGACACCACCCACTTTCGTACTTGGCAGGGACTTAGCTCTGTCAGGCTGATCTGGAGAGTAACCGGCACAGGTGGCTGCAACAGCCCCCCTCCACCTCCAGCACTGCCTAAGCTCCTTTTTACACTTTTGAGACATCTCAGACTGAAAATCTGCTGTAAAATGCCAAGTGTGACTTTTTACTTTTCATTATCTCTTTTATATTCTTTGCACATAGAGTTGGCCAAAAGATGGCACAATAAAACACATTTCCTAAGACGTGGTGACAAGTACCACTGCTGTAGCAACTGAATGTTTCATCAGCCTCTAGAATAAAGAACAAAACCAAACAAAATAATGATAACAATTTCCAATTTTCAAATTTGATTTTCGTCCTTAAAACTCATGTAGTCTAAGAGTAGCAGGCCCTTGTGAGGTGTGTAAGGAGATGTGCAAATGACAGACATGTGAAAGGAGAAGCAACCTTTGTGCATGGTGGAAAAGAAAACTTGAGAGACAGAAAAGCAGAATGCAAAAAGCAAGAAGGAATGTAATAGCACCCAGAACAGTCAAAGCAACTGAGAGGGGACTAAGCACAGGCATATGAAACTTGCTCAGTGCTTCGTGGTTGTACCAACTACATGTCACTTTAAATTTGAGACATCTTTTTATTTTTCTTTTTTCTTTTTGAGACAGGGTCCCATTATGTAGCTCTGGCTAGCCTGAAACTCACAGAGATCTACTTATCCCTGCCTCCCAAGTGCTTGGATGAAAGGTGTGTGATACAACCAGCAAATCTGATATAGCTTAATATAAGTTTAATAAAAGATGATGTTTTATCTTTATAGATTTTGATATGATTGGTGGGAATACTATGGAAGTTCAAAGGAACTTACTAGTTATTACTGTATTTGTAATCTGGAAGATATATTCATGTTTATTACTTATGATAATATACTGATAATAAGACAACTTCACAAACAAAGTAAATGACTTGCTTTGCTGGTAAGATTAGATCATAATTGTTATCTATATTAATAGCCTTATGCTTGTAAAAATTAATACCTCTTGGGCTGTGGGCATAGCTCAGTGTTTGTTTTGCATGTAAGAAGCTCTAGATTGCTCTCTGGAGCTGGGAAGAAGTATGTAAAATACTCCCCATACAAATGCTAAGACTCTCAACTTCTTTACAGGGCACCCTAATCCAGTTCTTTTTGTTTTTTTTTTTTTTTCCAAGACAGGGTTTCTCTGTGGCTTTGGAGGCTGTCCTAGACCTAGCTATTGTAGACCAGGCTGATCTCGAACTCACAGAGATCCACCTGCCTCTGCCTCCCGAATGCTGGATTAAAGGCGTGCACCACCAATGCCCAGCCCTAATCCAGTTCTATAAAAAATTAGAAGTGATACACACAGTAGAAGCTCCAAGTAAAATGCCTTTTAATTATTCATCTCATGTTTCTAAATATTCTACAAACAATCCTTAATCAGACCTCTAAAATGTCATATTTGACTATACTTATTCAGCTCTCATATAATTTCCATATCATTTAAAACTGTTACTACACTTTGGCTTTTACTCAAGATCTCTGTCCCAAAAGCCATATTAGGGTTTGTTGAACTGTTCTTAAAGACAAAACCATTATGTAATTCAAAGTTTCTTATAAAAGGTCCCTAGATGATGAAAACTAGGGTAGCCACTCATCTGATTAAAGGGGAAGGCCCATTCAGACACCTTCTCAATTATTGTCAGGAGTCTTACCTGGGGTCTTCCTTGTGGGTTCCTAAGCATTTCTCTAGCACCAGGTTTCTCTCTAACCATGTAATGCCTCCCTCCATCAGTAGACATCTTTTTCATTGCTCGCCCCTCAGTTCCTCCCCCAACTCGGTCTTCTTGATTCCTTATGTTCCTATCCCCCATCCTCTCTCAGTTTACTCAGGAGATTTTAACTATTTTCCCTTCCTGGGACCCTCCCTGTAACTAATGGCAGCAGATGCAGTGACCCACAGCCAAGCACTGGGCTGAGCTCCTGGAGGAGGGATCATACGACCAAGGGGGGGTCAAGGCTGTGATGGGGAAAACCACAGAGACAGCTGAATGGAGCTAGTGGGAGCTCACGGATGGACTGATGGCTGGGGAACCTGCATGGGACTGAACTAGACCCTCTGAATGTGGGTGACAGACATGTGACTTGATCTGTTGGGTGGTGGCTGGCAGTGGCACCAGGACCTAATCCAGGGGCATGAACTGGCTTTTTGGAGCCCATTCCCTATGGTGAGATACCTTGCTCAGCCTTGCTACAAGGGTATAGTAATATATTGTTTGTAATCTAACAAATAAAGTTTGCCTTAAGATCAGAATGAAGAGCTAAGCCACTAGTTAGCTACACATAAACTAAGCAACTAGTTAGCTATAGAGGACAGGCAGTGGTGGCACAGGACTCAGGAGACAGAGGCAGATGGATCTCTGTGAGTTCAAGGCCACCCAGGGCTACATGAGAATGAATGAGTCTAAAAGAGAAACAGAGCTTATGCCTCTAATCTCAGTTACGGAGAATATAAGGCAGAAGCTCAGTGCAGTCTGAGTTTTGGTGGAGAGCATTGCAGTCTGCAGTCACGCTGAGGACAGGATCCCACCACCCACCTTTGGTTTTAAGCTTGGTAGAGGTAAGAACTCTTCAGTGTCTTGGCTGCTTTTGTTTTTTGATCTTCAGTTTGAATCCCAAAGACTGTCTGTTTTTTTATTATTTGTGCTACACAGGGGGTAGGGGCTTTATTCTGCCTCAACTTGGAAAAGGTGTGGGGGGGGTGGGAAGAGGAGAAAGCTGGGGGTTGGTGGGAGATGGGGAGGGAGGGGGAACTGGGGTTGGTATGTAAAATGAAAAATAAATTTTTTAAATAAAAAGGTCTCTAGATGGAAAATGTCTCTTAAAAAACACTGTACAACATACAATAGTACCAACACCCACCCTGCTTCCCTCCTCACCTTCTTTCATCCTGTCCATTTATTGCATATTTAAATAATGTCAGGGAATTTTGCGGCAAATGACTTTTCTACAGAATCATCTATAAATAATAAGTTAAACAATACTTTTTCTTATTTAGAAAAAAACTAAATTATGTATATGGATGTTTTGCCTAAATGTATGTGTGTGTACCACTTGTGTGCCTGGTGCCCTTATAGGCCAGAAGGCTTTGGATCTTTTGAGACTGGTGTTAGAGATGGTTGTGAGTCACCATGTGGGCACTGGGAATTGAACCTGGGTCCTCTAGAAGCACAGTTAGTGTTCTTAATATCTGTCTAGCCCCAGGAATAACTGCTTAAAGGTAGTTAAATGCCTTCACTGGTAACTGATTGCATGAACTCATTCAAATACAGCAAATAAGTACAGTAAGATACTAGTATAAGATTCCAAGATTGTATCATGAATGACTTTGGCTACATTCACTTTGATGTTGAGGAACAGTTAACACCCAAAGCATCTGTCTTTCAAGTAGTTTCTACTACTAAAAGAGAGTTTGCTAAGACCATACTTACAATCATTTGCTCGGTGTGCTTCATTCCTACAGATCCAGAGATTTTTCTTTTCTGCTCTAACAGGTTTCTCCACTTATTTCCAATAACTTGCTTTCTTCTTGTAACAGCAGAATCTTAACAAATGTCGATATGAAATATTATGAAATTTGAGTAGGTAATATGAATCCACTCAAAATTTCAAGTTACTGTCAAACAGTACAGAAAGTTCTATGTATTTCCTCCATTTGGCCAGAAGTCTTCTATTAATTTTCCTCTAAGTTCTATAAATGGCACTTTTGCAAGGATGAATGAAACACAGTTCCTGCTATGGAGCAGAATATGGGGAATGCCAAGACGATACACAGAACGCGTGATGGGTGTGCAGGAAGAGCATAGTAGGATTCCAATTGACATTATCAAAAATTGAGATATGGGACTTTCTTCATGGCACCACTATTTGTTAGGAGAGTCATATACTGTGTGCCCAGGGAAGTGGATTTATGCATCTCAAACAGTAAGTGAGCAAGTTCTCAGACATGGTGTTTTAGTATTTAGGGAACACTAGGTACTCCCCACATGATCTTCCTATGCTTTCTGTATGACCACTTACCTAAGACCTCATTCTCACAGTGCCAATCCCCAAAGATGATACAAATAACTTAAGGACAGGTGAGTGAGAGCGAGGCAGAGCACACACACCCCATACTCTTGTATAGTCCCTCACCAATCATGGCCGTGTACTGTCACAGTGTCCGTCCATTTCAGACTGAGTTTCATAAACTTAAGAATTATAAAAAACTAGAAGAGTGAATCCTACCTTAAAGGTACATGAGAGAAAAAGCATGTGATAGAGTTCATAATAAAATATTTGCAATTAAAGCTGGGAAGTGGTGGCACACACCTTTAATCTGAGTACTTGGGAGGCAGAGGCAGTCAGGTCTCTGTGAATTCGAGGCCAGCTCGGTCTACAGAGAGAGAGTTCCAGGACCGGCTCCAAAGCTACACAGAGAAACCCTGTCTCAAAAAACAATACAAAAATATTTATAATTAATTAATATACTGTGATAGTAACAGATACACAATTTTTTGGTCTATAGTTGCTGGGTCATAGAATCTACACATGCTTAACTTTTATAGATATGAGAATTTTTAGTTCATACAAAACTTTACCAACCCTTGGTAATGTGTCTAATTTTAGCTACTCTGATGTATGCAGTTGTATCTAAAAGTCTAAATATACATTTGCATTTTATTATCCATTTGATGGCTTTTATTTATGAAAAGCTTATTATAGTATTTTGCTTTATGTTTTGTGTATGTGTGTATGTTCATGTACAGGAGGGTGCATGTGTGCATGGCAATGTCCATGCACATGTGTACACATGTGTGGAGGTCAGAGGACAACTTCCTAAGGATTAAAAGCATATGACATCACACTCATTGCATTAAACAGTTTTTATTAGATTTGCTCATTTTATTTTCTACTGAGCATTTTGCCTATATGTAAGTATGTATACCACCTATATACTTGGAGGTCAGAAGAAGACACTGGATCCCCTGCAACTTGAGCTCCAGGTGGTTGTGAACCATTAATGATGTGGGTGCTGTGAATTGAACCCGGGTCCTTTGTAAGAACAACTAGTGCCTTTAACTGCTGAGCCATCTCCTCAGCCTCTATTTTTTTTTTTTTTTTATTTGGTTTTTCGAGACAGGGTTTCTCTGTGTAGCTTTGGAACCTATCCTGACACTTGCTCTGGAGACCAGACTGGCCTTGAACTCACAGAGATCCACCTGCCTCTGCCTCCTGGGTGCTGGGATTAAAGGTGTGCACCACCAATGCCGGCCTCAGCCTCTATTTTTATTAACATGGGTTCTAGGGACTAAACTCAGGTCCTCATGTGTGCAAGCCAAGCTGCTTATTGGATGTGCTATCTTCCTAGCCCACTGATGATCTTTTTGATGTGTTACCTGTAGTCTGAAGTTGTTCAATTAAAAATCACTATCAAACAAGGGGGAGTGCCTAGGTCCTGCCCCCAAATGATATGACAGACTTTGATGATTCCCCCATGAGAGGCCTCACTCTCCCTGGGGAGTGGATGGGAGGTGGGATGGGGGATTGGGGAGGCATGGGAGGATGGAAGGGAGAGGTAACATGGATTAGTATGTAAAATAAGATTGTTTTTAATTTAAATAAAAATTTATTTAAAAATATTACTATCAATATTGCTGTGACATTATTTTGTTCAGCAGTTTTTGTTTTTGTTTTTTTGATGGAGACAATCTAGATAATCAAGGTGGGATTTGACTCAAATCATTGTGGATACTGGTGTTAACCCTTTATTGCAGTTTTTAGTCTGCTCTTTATAACCTGTCCTACGAATTATAGATTTGCTTAGCAGAGCCCCATATTAGTTTAAATCAATGCTTAGCAACAGACTTCTTTATACCTCTTTACTTGGTTTTGCTTCTCTAGCTTAGCCCTCATGATATAATTGATCCACATTTTTATATTTATTGTAGTCTTTTAATACATCCTGCCTATGAGTCTTGATTAGTACAGAACATTACAAATATCTTTCCCCATTCAGTGTTGTGTCATTTTAACTTGTTAATTTTTTGTATGAAAAAGATCTCCAATTTTATTGTATAAGTATCATTCTTCTTAATAGGTATATTTTACATAGAGTATAAAAAATCTGACTATTCTAAAATCATATTGCTTCTAGAGCTTTTTATTTTTCATATTTACATCTGTAATTTACATGGAATTGATTTGTGTATAGGAGTGAAGAAAGAGTTACTCATTATATAGTTACCCAACTGAATGATAAAATAAACCCCTTTTTTCCTGCTATGCATTGTCGCCTTTGTGAAAAATCAAGCAATTAATTATGTGGGACTGTATTCTATTATCATTCAGCAGATGCCACGCTATGCTAATTGTTGTAGATTTAGATAGACTATCTAGAAATGAAAATTCCAAGACAGGGTTTCTCTACACACCTGGTTGTCCTGGAACTTGATCAGTAGAGTAGGCTGGCTTTGAACTCACAGAGATCTACCTGCCTCTGCCTCCTGAGTCCTGGGATTAAAGATGTGTGCCAGCATCACCTGGCTTTTGAAATGAAAGTTTTTAACTTTGTTCTTGAGATTGTCTCAGTTACTCTTGGCCTATGCATTTAATAATGTAAGTATAAGAGTCTGGCAATTTTCACAGAACCTGTTGGCACTTCATGGCCTCGACATGTACACACCTTCTTCTCCACCCAGGTCTTCTTTCATTATCCTCATGGTGCTTTCAGACTTCTCCACTGGTTATTAAAATCTTTACATTCAATTTTTCTCATAGGCTTATATTTCAATGTTATCTAAAAGATACCATTATTGAAATTTCTAGGTCTGTCCCTTGGCAATCCTAAAACATTTCCACTATTATTCTAACTTTGTTTCAGTTGCCTAGTCCCACTCAGCTATGTGTTCAGTATGGGGTCCTGTCCATACTGGGGAGGACAGCATGCTGTGTTTATTAGTAGCAGGCAATACCATGTTCTCACAGGGTCTTTCCCACCAAGTTTCTTTTGGTTGACACCCTTAGCCCCAGAGGGTTAATTTGACCTTTATCTGAACCCTATACATTTTTGTTCATTTTCAGATGAACATAAGCATAATTATTTCACTGTAAAGAATTAGACTGCATTTAGAATATGATCTCCTATAACATTGTTTCAAGGTATATTTCTCTTGGCTTAATAACTTCCACAATCATTTTACTTATTTTTTAATCAGTATTTTTCTTCTCTTGGTTTCTCTTCATTCTTTAAAAACCTCAGCCTCTAACCTTGATTCAAACTTAATATTTTTGTAGAGAAGTAGTAAAGAGATTTAGGTTACATTTTTTGCATTTAATTTTCTATATGCTAATGTAGTTTGTACCCATCCAATTTATTAAATTGTCTCAGGGCTGGAGACACACTTCATTCATTAAGAGCCCTTGCTGCCATTACAGAGTGCCTGTATTGGCACTTAAGCATAAGCTGGCACTTATGGTAGGTGGTTAACAGGAATCTGTACTCAAGTTTCATGGGGATCTCACACCCTCTTTGGGCCTCCATAGACTGCCCCACACATGTGGCATAGACAAAAACCAATTGACAAATAATAAAAAATTAAGTCAGGTGTGATTTTATACACCTTTAAATTCTGGCATTCATGAGGCAGAAGCAGGCAGATCTGTGTGAGTTCAAGGACAGCATGGTCTACTGACTGAGCTCTAGGCCAGCCAGTGCCACAGAGTGGTCTCAAAGAGAAAATAAAAAAAAAAGAATGAATGAACAGGCAGGGTGTCTGCTAAGTGCCAGGCCCTGTTGGGATCTGGAGTACAATGATGCAGCACACAGAAACCCCCTGGTCTTTGAAAGCTCCTGGTCTAATTAAAGAGGATACCAAGTACAAATCTATAAACTCTAAGCAAATTACTTCTTGTTATTACTGTACTGCCCTCTCCCTCTATGAACAATCCCCTCTCTTTCTCAGTAGGAAACTAATTCCCACTGGCAGCAAGTTTTATGGACTTCTAGGTCATTCCCTTAAAAGAGGGAAGTGGTTTCACAAGCAGTGAGTGACATGACAATGACATCAACAAAGAAGTAAATCTTTGAATTGTTCAAAACAACATGAAAACAGAAAACACAAAAACCACAGAAGCAGAGCTGCAGTGTTCTAGAAAGGACGGAGGGCTGTGTATGTATTTAAAACACTTCTTTCTTTAAACTGCAGGCATTTTGCCTTATTTATTATCTTGTGTGTGGATGTGCACACACATGCCAGCAATCCTATATGGAGTTTGGAGCTCACCTAGAAGGAGTCAGTTCTCTCCATCCATCATGCAGGCTTCAGGGACTGAATTCAGGTTGTCAAGTTTGGCTGAATGCATCTTTACCTGCCATCCTGACAGCCCAAGTGTTAGTTAACATCTACTATTAGCATATAAGAAATTCGTATATGAATTTTAAAATAAGCCAGGCATGGTGGCGCATGTTTTTAATCCCAACATTTGGGACAGATGCAGGAGGACCTCTGTGGGCTTGAGGCCAGTTGGTCTACATAGTGAGTTCTAGGCCAGGCAGAACTACATCCTGTGTCAAACACAACAAATAAGTTGTTATATATATTTATCTACTCAAATAAACAATGCTTTTTCCCATGATGCTCATGTGACAGAAATCTAATCACAACAGCAATGACAGAACCACATGGGATAAGGGTCAGATGCTATTCATTGTAGAGCTAGCACAAGTTTCCAATTTTAATTGAGTACAGGTTAGGCAATTCTCTGAAGAGCTCCAGCTGCTAGAGCAAGTTATAGCATAGAGAGCTAAGTTATCCTCATAAGACTGTAACTCACTAGACAGTATACATTGCCATGCACAATGTGGAAAATGTCACATGACTCTGAAAGGTAGTATAATGTTTTCCTTACCAGTGGCCCTGTCATTGTGGCACCCATTGTTCCTTCTTTTCCATGAGAGAACTGACTCCTCTTCGGTACTCCTATGAGTCAATGACTGGTTGCTCTCTTCACAAACAGGACTTCCTTGGGTACAATATACTGTCCCGTCTTGCTGGAACCCTGTGTGAGTGCTATTTGAATAGTTTGCTTTTGCTGAGGTTTGGCACTCTGCAGAGTGAGGAGTTGGTAGAGCTGGGGTCACAGCGAGGAGGTCAGAACAAGAATCTGGGAATGGAGGATGACTTTCCTGAGTCCACTGATTCAAACGGTACTCTGTGGGAAGCATGCATGAACTTAAGTAGTTCTGTGTCATGATGTTTTGAGACTGTTCAGGTGTGGCTAAATGACATGGAGACATTTGCATATTTTTACCATTTTTAATATTTGTTGGTGGTTTAGGCAGAGGATTAGGGAGAATAAGTTTACCCTGAGCTTGGGCCAGTGTGTTAGCTTTGCTTGAAGACAGTGGCTGGCTGATAGTGGTTTTTCTGTTCATATAGAGAAGGCCTGTCTGGACCTTTGTAGACCCTGCCCTTCTAGTCCCCTTTGCTGACCTTGGAAGCTTAGACTTCTGAGTCTTAGCATCACCAGCATGCATAGGGGCTTTGTTGTCTTCTCTTCTGCAGGCTGACCAGGCTTGTTTAGCAAAGCTACAGCCTGCAGGTGTAGAAAAGTTCAAAGGAACACTGTCCATTTCATATCCTCCCGAATCAGTAACGTTTTCGGAGACACCATCAGCCTTGGCCTTCTTCCCACCAGCAGAGTGTGCGGTACAATCAGGGATACTTGTTGGGTTGCAGGTTGGCACCTGTACACTTCTGGTGTGATAGTGCTGGAGCCACTGTAGGGCCATTCCTGCCCTGTTCCTCACTGGGTGGCTATCATCCATACAGTTTTCTGTGTAATTACTTTCATCAAGCCACCGTAGCTTTTTAGTAGTTTTGGGGGTTCCTGTCCCTTTCCCTTTCTGTTTTGTTAATTCAATACTATCTCTAATAGCTTCTGCCTTTTGATGTCTAAACCTAAAACCTTGATTTATAACTAGTGCCTTGAGATAATCATGATCATATCTGGATTCTTTCTTTAATATACTCTTAAGCAGCCTCACCCCATTTTGTTCATGGACCATGTGCTTCATGCTGTGATCAGGCAAGTCACAGTCAGGAGTTATGTTACACAGTGGTGCTGATGGTCCACTTGCTTTTTGTTTTCTATCTTTTGAATTAGAATTTTGAGGTGCACAGGTGGCCTGAAAGTTGCCTGAAAATAAAGACAACTTTTCTTTATTACAGTTCAAATAGCTTATCTTTTCGTATTTCACATCTTTCAATTCATCTAACTTATCAGAACACTGCACGGGATTGATTTCTTTTATGTGTGTGTTGTTCTCCGGTGAAGGCCCACTGGACTGTGAATTAGGCGACAAAAGTGGCACAAAGGAAGCAGGAATTGAAGCAGTTCTGTTTTCTTGAGTTAACTCAGATAGTCTCTCTTGGATGGAAAATGAAGGTGCTTCCTGGGTTAGAGGTTCTGGAGTAGTCCAGGCTCCACTGACTTTAAATGCTGGGCTCTTGGCACTTGGCAGCCACTCCCTTTGGGGTGTTCCACAAGTGGACTCACTGGTCCTCACAGTATTCCCTTCAGAGGTGTTCTCTCTTTTTTTATCTAGAGCAACTACAGAAGGACTACATACAAAGAGCACTGAGTCATTGGCAGTTTTTGTGGCTCTCTCCACAGTTCTGCTCAGAGTAGGTGGGTTTTGTTCTTTATTACTCAAACATTCCCACGAGGGCAGAACACTAGATTTACTTAAAATATCTGAAAAAGATGCGACAGGTTGAGTGTTTTGAGCATCTATGTTTGTGAGCCAATTGTTTATATGCTGAGTTTTAGATAAAGACAATCTGTCTTCATCATAGTAGTTTAAATGAGCCGACTGCAGACTTGCTGACTTGAGGGGAACAGAGTTCGGCTGGGCTGATGTGGAAGGAGTCATAAGTGTTATGTATATTTCTTCACGCTCTCCAGCCTCAAGGCTGTCTACACTTGAGAGAGTTTCAGAATTGGTTATCTGATTAACTTCATCACAAAATTTCTGAGGGAAAAAAAAAAGAACACTGTTTTATGCTGTAGACTCACACTATTGTTACTGAGTTCAATTTTCCTTGACAGGGAAAATAATGTGACTATAAGCAGTATAGGTACAAGCTACACCCCTGCAGCAGACCTCATGGTAAAAAGTAAGAAATAAGAAAAGCATAAAAAAGTGCTTCCTTTCATTTCAGCTCCCACAGTAAATGCTCAAGTATTCTGGCTACCATGATGTCTTAGAAATAATTGCTATTCCACTTAGGGTATGGAGTTTCTTCATGGGTTCACAATACTAAATTAATTCTGAAAAATACTTGCTGATAAACTAGATTCTCTTCCTGAAACCTTCTTTGGACTTAAAAGAGACTCTTGACAGTTCTGTGATGCAACAGACATCAATTAGCTCTGAGCCCTTTCCCATCCATGTTGAGATTGTGCATGATCCCAGGGAGGCAGCACTAAGTGGAGTCAGTCGGTTTGAAAAACAAAGCACATTAAGTTGGGATGAAAAAGTGGTGGTGGCTGGGAATAGGGGAGGAAACAGAAGGATTAGATCAAAATATATTATATACATGCGTGAAATTCTAAAAAAAAAAAGAGAGAATTTTAACAAAGAAAGTAAAGTTCTGTGACCCTAATGTGAACTTTCTGTTGGTAGGAATTATAACCTTTTTATAGAGGTCTGGAATAAGGTTTTCAACTCTGGTTGTATGTAAGAGACAAAGGGTTTCATAAAAATAAATATGCCAGTGAAGATCAGAAGTTCAAGGATAGCCTTGGTGACATACTAAGTTTGAGGCCAGCCTGGACTAAATTATATCCTGTGTCCAAACAAAATACCAACAAAAATCTATGTCTGGGCCCTGCTGGTTCATTTTCCACATGAGATTCATGCAGTAGTCTTACACTTATTTTATTTCTATGAAGCATGTGGATGTAGGTTTAAGAACTATTGGTTTTAGGGGTTGGAGAGATGGTTCAGAAGCATCTATATGCATCATAAATTTAGGTTGCTTTTAAAAATTTCTAATAATAATACTTACATTACACTATACTTTCAAACAGCTTTTATATTTGTCAGAAAATAACATTCATACAGCCTATTTTTTTTTTTAGTAGATGGAAAAGAGGAAGAGCAGAAAGGTGGGAAAAGGTCAGGGAAAAAAGAAAAACAACCCAAGTTTTCTTTTAGCATCTGTGATGGAGTTGAGCTGACTCATCCGCAGGTATTTTTATGGCCTTCTTTTAGCTGTATGAAGAACACTGAGATGTAGGACAGAATTACTACTACAAATGAAAGCACTAGTAACATAGTTATAGTTCATACTTGCAAACTGCTTAAATGTTGATTCTCTAGGAGCTTCTGAGTCTCCTCCAGTTTAAGCTGGAACACATTTTTGTTAGTAGCTACGTTTGCTATGTTGTTTTCCTTCATTTCTTTATCACAGTTAATTCTGCGTACGAGGTATTTTTGATGTTTGTGATCATTTTTTGACAACGGTGTAGGCAAGGCAGAATCTATAGCTCTGTGAACCAAATATGAAAAGATTTAGTACATTTAACTGAAATTAACTTATTTCCTTAAGTACATAAATGACACAATTGTATACTATGTGCACAAGTGTCCAGATAATTACATATAAGGATATTGGAGAAATCTATAGACATATTAGAATGGGACTTTAAGGCAATTAACAGAATAAAAATGACTGTGAGAGCAGAGTGCCAATAAAGAA